CTACATAATCATCAGAATACATTCTCTGGAAGTCCTGAAAAAGGGAGGAATGTCAAATGTGTTTTCTTTTTACCAACGGAATAAGAATGAATTACTAAAAGGGTTTCTTGTAGAAGTTCCTCCGATAAGGGAGGAAAATTTATTGACAATTGGAATCACAAATGATGTGTTGATATATCTGTAATTTCTCATTGCATTCTTGATTAACACGAAAAAGGGGAGCCTGGTGCACAAAGTTTCCCCTATGCATGGGTCCATGGAAGGGCCATCTCGATCAACATACTGATTAGAAATTCTTGAGCTTGAACTCGCAAAATCTAAACCCGGTTGATATGTGCAGTGTGCTTGTGTACTGAACCAAAAAAAAAAGTTCAGTGGGCTAGTGGAAGTCATAATAACAACCTTTTTCCATATGTTCATTGAGAAAGATCAAAGTGACGAAGAGAATAATACTTCTTCACCTTTCTGTGGAGTGTCTTAAAATGTCTCTTCTACTTTGAGCTGACAATGCAAAAGGTCGTATGCAGCTAGCTGACGATGCCTGATTGATACTTGATTTTTTTACTCAAGGGACTTGTAACTCAAGAAAATGTGCAATGTGCTGTGCATTGAGCATCTAAATGGATCTTAAGTTCTGTTATTTGAAGAAATGATATCCATTTGTTGTGTTATTTGAAGCTTGAAGCAACATCAATCTGTACTGCCAACCCCTTGGCTTGAACAACATAGTGTGTGTGTGTGTGTGTGAGAGAGAGAGAGAGAGAGCGTAATTGACAAAAGAGTTTAATGCAATCCTGGGTGGGTCACTATCTGTTCGGTGATACTTTAAGCAGATGGATCTTCTTGACCTGGTATATTGTATATTGTGTGTAGAATAGATTTTAAGAGTTGTCTAACAGCAGTCCATCCATGGTGCCACTGATTCCAGTTTCCTTTTTGATCATTGCATCAGATGTGAAGCATACTCACGAGGAAAATTAAGTATTCATATTCTTGGATATTTTGAAGTCAGTCAGAGGTAGTCTTGTCCAATATAATACATCAAGTGTGAAACATGGCATGGAAGCATAAATTAGCATGCATGCCAGCAGAATTGAGCTATCATATTCTTGGATATTGTGAAGTCAGTTAGAGTGGGGGGTAATCTTTGACCAATATTGAGGGTATGATGGCGTTGGGATTCAATTCTAACTTGGTAAAGCATACATGAGTTCTGCATCTGCCCTCTTGAGTGTAGCATAGTCCATCAGATTGTTATGAGATCCACAGATAAAATGATATGGTTTGGGGTTTATAACCTTTTTTGTCGGTATAGTAGGTATATTGATGTAAAAATAGCATAAAAAAGGGTTTGGGGGTATATCACTATCTTTTTGCATTACCTCATTTACACAGTTCTGGAATAGGCATGAACTGCTTGCGTGATGTAAGCTTTAGGTTTGTCATTTTGTTAATGTCTTGTGTTTAAAGCAGCGGCTCAATGGGTAGAGCACTTGATCTTCTCTTATCAATATAACAGTTTTATGCGTGATACAGTTTTATGATTTACTTCTTGCTTCAGGAGATCAAAGCTTAAAAATGGTATCTGACATTGGATGATGCTCATCAAATGCATTGATTGCTGTTCCAATACAATGCCTTTTGATTTTAAATGATGATGATTGTAGTAGTGATAGCAGAGTTGTTAAGGCATAACGACAGTAGTAATACCAATAGCCATTGCACTTTAGACTAGTAGTGCAAAGCATATTGGCGGCGTAACAACTTTGGTGGAGGCTAATTGTGAATCCTGTTGTTGTTTTGATTGAGATGGTTAATCATAGTACATTCTTTTTCTGTAAGGATTTTCTGGAGTTGTTGAGTAGAGAGGAGGGGCAGATTGTCTGGTTGGGTCTTGTTACGTTTCTTGTATCCCTGTGTACCTTCTTGGTCCTGTTTCAATGATATTTTACCTTATAAATATGAGAGAGGGTGTAGGTTCAAATAGTTTTAATTCATTTTATTGAGATGTAACTGGATGGTTACTTGGAATTTGTGTTTATATTTGTCCTGGATATGAAGTTGTATGAGCTGTGAGCTTGTAATACGGAAATCCATCCCCTTTTTGTTGGATGAAGTTGCTACAGACAGTCATGCACTCAGTGGTCTCTTATCTCTGTTTGTGGCATACTTTGGGATGAGAAGTCAGATGTATCTACAAAGTTTGCTCTTCCCTTTATACCAGGCTTCATTCAAGTCTTACATGTCAGAAGGATAAATGATCATGAAACTTGTCAAATAAAAAGGATGAATGGTCATGAAAGTAATTTTGTTAGTTGACTAGGTCCTGTGAGTCTCTAAGTTAGGCTCTGTTCATGAATAGATGTTGGATTGCTTCTGCAGAACGTTGTCAAAACTTACATGTCATTGAGCTAAAACCGAGTAAAGTATCTGTGTATTTACTCCACCTGTGCCAATTTATTTGACATGTTTTGCTATATCAATGATTAGTTTGACCCTTTTCTGAAACTACACTCTTGATTAATTATTTTTGATTAAAATGTAGATAGTACAAAGATATACAAAAAGATGCATAAGTTGCAATTTTTCTTATTTCAAAATGGTGAAAAGGCAGAACATGTCAAGCATTTGAAGATGGGAGGATTTTTTTTCAACTCCAATTTAGGAGTTAATCTTTGGATTGAGTGTTCCCTAAGGATTTTGGTATTAGTACTGCGTTTTGGATCATTGTGCTGCAAATGCAAGGTGCTGATTGCTTCTATTGTTGACAGAGCAAATTTGAATTCCAGTTGAGACTGCAAGAGTTCATAGAGTTGGTAAGATCTGAAAACATGATGCGGGCCATTACATATGCTCGGAAATATCTTTCACCTTGGGGTTCTACCCACATGAAAGAGTTGCAGCGGGTCTTGGCGACACTTGCTTTCAAGAGTAATACTGAATGTACAACTTACAAGGTAAAGGTCTTTTGTACTTGTTTTCTGTATATTTGCACTTCTTTGTCGGAATGTCATGAGTTTAGAATTCTTAATTAGTTTCTTCAATCTGGTTCGACTCTTTCACCATCTATGCTTTCAAGAATTATTACATATAGTCCATATTTCTAGTAACTCATTATTTATTGCAGTGTAAGTTTGTCGCATATGCACAAATTAGAGCAATGAGTTACTAGAAAAATGGACTATTCTACTATATGTAATAATGTATGCATGTTTTATGTATTGCTTCTGCAACTCTCAGATATCATGTATGGAAATTCTTATGTCAGTTTGCTTTCACTTTTCCTCATTGGTCTTGTGTTTCTTCATGATCTTGTGAGATGATTGTCTGCTTTATATGAAGAATCACACTTGAGTAGAATACAAACAGTTCACGATAATTATGCACCAACAGGAGGTTACTTGACAGTTTTCAGTTTCTATTATAGGTTTTATTTGATTCGAAACAGTGGGATTACCTGATTGATCAATTCAAACAAGAGTTTTGCAAGTTATATGGCATGACTCTGGAGCCTTTGCTGAATATATATCTGCAAGCAGGGCTGTCTGCACTTAAAACTCCGTATCCTTAACACATGATTTTTTGCTAGGGAATTATTGCATACAGATGGTCACTATACAAATTTGTAGTTTACTATTAAAATCACGTTCAATTACATATGTGATGGTATAATCAGGGTAGTTTACTGTATGATTTTCAGATTTACTAACTGCTGATATTTCGAACTCCCTCTGCCATCCATGGCTAAAGTTCCTAATATCCATTGGGGAAAGGAAAAGAGGAACCAAAGGAAAATTGTAAATTTATCTGTTCATGACTTCTCCTTGACCAAATCTATAGATTCTGTTACGAAGATGATTGCACAAAGGAGGATCCATTGTCACACGAGAGCTTCCGCAAATTAGCAACGCCGCTACCATATTCAAAACAGCATCACTCAAAGCTTGTTTGCTACATAACAAAAGAACTGATGGATACTGAAAACCCACCCCTTGTATTACCTAATGGCTATGTCTATAGCACCAAGGTATGCCTTTATTTGCTTCCACGTTTGTGCTTCCTTCAGCGATAATCTGACTTGTATCTATGTGATGGCAGGCACTCGAAGAAATGTCGAAGAAGAATGACGGCAGAATCACATGTCCTAGGACAGGCCTCACCTGCAACTACACCGAGCTTGTTAAGGCTTACATTTCATGAGTTTCTGTTTTCATTGGACTTCCATCATTGTAGATCGTGGGCAGTGATCAACTCCCCCATGACTTCATGTTTTGGGGACAATTGTATATATGGGAACCCCCAAGTCTGCAAGCAGAAAATTCATAATGATGTGAACTTTAAAAGGAGTTTTTGATTTGTACAGCATATCAGTTGCATTTGAATGCACCTGTAATCCTAAAGATGCTTTTCACACACCCCTGCCCACACAACTCAGTTGCATTTAGTAGAAGATCTGAAGTACCTGTTGGCTAGTGGTCAGTTGTAGTTGGTGGCACATGTGGGGGCATTCAAGGGTGTGGTTTAACAGTCAATGAAGTTGATAGAAACTTAGCTATGTCAGAGTTAAAGCTCTAGCATAGAAAAAAAATTAAGGTGTTCTCTTTTCATTTGCCTAAGCTTTGATAAGTAGAGTTGTTAAAGTATATGTGTTGGTTGGAGGTAACAAATAATTGGTTTGTCGTTGCAACTTGGTTTAAATATCGATATTATTGGAGAAAAAAAAAAAAAAAAAAAGGTAACCCAACTGTTACTTGTGACCTAATCAGGTCCAATGATGAATAAAACACTCATCTTTCAAACACCATTTACACTAATTCTCGAGTGTTTACAAGTGTTATTAGAGGATGTGTTTGGTACGAAGAAAAGTGTTTACCACGAAAAATATTTTGAACCGAAGTTCTATAAATCATAAACACTGCATTAAAACGTTCGATCCAGATGCAATGGTATATCATTAGATGGTTTAATTTTGGGATATATAATATCAGGAAGCATATGTATAGCATAAAATTCAAAATTCCCCATGGAATCAAGACTAAACAGAATTATTAATATCAGACCACCACAAGATGTTCATCAGAGCAACATTAGTACAATTATTTTACTGCAACCCATCTATTCAGAAACTGGAGTATGACAAAAGTACGAACATTTGTTTTCAACTAGAGGCGGATTCAGAGTTTTAAGTTTGAAATACGTTCTTATACATATTGAACCCGTAACTCCAACCGCATGCCTATTCTAGGTCTATTTAACTAGAAGTTCATACAAAATCTGAATGAAACTATCAATATAGTTGCTCATGAAACCAGGACTTGAAAGAACTTCCTTCCATTTTCTATGATTCTCTTTCACCAAACAGCCAACTTGGCTATCTTTATCCATGACACATTTCACAGCCTTGCACAAACTCTCCTTTGAAAACCAACCATTTTCATCCTTCTTCACTTCAACACCAACCTTAAGATCTTGTTCCATCATCCTAGCACTTAAAGTTTGATCATTAGCACTTGGCAAAAGTACTAATTGACAATCACACAATGCTAAAGATTCCCACATTGATCCATAACCACAGTGTGACACAAAACAACCAACTGATTTGTGAGTTAAAATCTTCAACTGAGGCACCCAACAAGCAAGAACCAATCCTTTTTCTTGAACCCTTTCTTTGAATCCCTCAGGCAGGGCTTCTTCTACTGAATTTGTTCCTTCAGGTGGCTTAAGAACTACCAGAAATGGCAGACCTGTTAGTTCAAGGCCTAAAACAAGTTCTTGAAACTGCTTCTTTTCGAGAATCAATTGGCTTCCAAATGCACAGAACACCACCGATCCTGGTTCGAACTTCTCGAGCCAATTCGATAATCCATGTTCTGCTAAAGGCCCCTTTTCAGGATCAGGAAGAACAGGTCCAGTGTAAAGGACTGGTTTTTTAAATTGTGTGGCGATGTAGTCACCAAATGTTCCTTCAATCTCTCGACATGTTTTCAAAGCTATTGCATCGCATAGCGTCATTCCCTTTGTCAACCGTTCATATATTGTCACTCCCTTGCCATATTCTTGAAACAGAAACTCTAGCAACTTAGCTTCGTGTTCGTGCAACACCACAGTAGTAGAAGGGTAACCTGGAGATCCACCAATTGAACACATTTTTAGAGAGCATAATAAAGTTGCAAATTTACTAGCAAATTGTGGCACTATATGATGCATAATGTAGGTACTAAAGTTACAAGCGTGACAGTTTCCCCTTTGTTTTTCGAACAAGCTGGAAGCAGTTGCCTGGTCAGGTTTTTATATAAAGGGTTCAAAAGATAGCTGCATTTCAACCTTGTGAGCAAAAACAAATTTTAAAACCCCGTTAACTTGTTATCACACACACAATTTTCTTATGTCAAGGGATTCAGGTGGTTTAACAACAACAAGAAATGGTAGATCAGTTAGTTCAAGGCCTAAGACAAGTTCTTAAAATTGCCTCTTTTCAAGTTTCAATTACCTCCCAAATGTACAGAAACTACTGATCCTAGATCGAATTTCTCGAGACAACTCGATAATTGATGTTCTCCTAAAGGCCCCTTTTCAGGCTCAGGAAGAACAGGTCCTGTGTAAAGGATTGACTTTTCAAATTATGTTTCTGTGTAGTCACGAAAAATTAATTCACTTTGTATTCAGAAACTGTTGTATTATTGACACAGAGCGAATCTCACAAACCCGAGCTGCATTAATAATTATCCAAATTATCACTAGGATTGTTAATTAAGCCTCAAGCTATAGCTATATTCGAAAATTCTCCGGAAAAAAAAAGAGGGAGGAGGGCAGAAGGATAACCTGGTGGTGGCCTAACTTTTTCAGCTGCAGTTGATGCCATAAAAACACTCTTTTCCGGTGATCGAACCAATGAATAAGCTGATGTAGCAGGGCAAACGGTTTTATAACATAAAGTCTTGATACCCCCAATTTCTGTTGCTATTTCAGGAACCCAATGAGCAAAATCAAAGAAAACGAAATGGGGTTTTAGATTTCGAAGAAAAGATTTGATTTCATCATACAATTCATCCATAGCTGCTGCTAGTAGAGTTTCCAAAGCTCTAGGCACATCAGCTGTAGTTTCAGCTCCATATGGAAGGCCATGGATATGAGGGATTTTGAGTGGGTGGAAAGTGATGAGATTAGGGTAAAGATTGAATTTTTGAAGTTTAATTTCAGCATTTTTGGGTAACAAGAATGAGATTCTGTGACCCTTTTTAGCAAGTTCATTGGAGAGGCTGAGAAATGGGATTAAATGGCCAAAAGCAAGCCATGGGAACATCACTATTTGGAGCTTTGAGTGTATGGAATCTGCCATTTTTTTTTGCCTTGGGATCTCCAACCCTACCCTCTTCTATTTAACTCTCCACCAAATATAAATTTCTCTGTTTTGTTTAGACAACCTACTCTAACTCAATTCTTTACTTTACTTTCTAAAAAGAATCTTCTACGATATAATATTATTATTTATCTTTTAAATCCTTTATTTCTTTTTTCCAAATAATCACCCTATATAATTTACATTAATATAAAATTTTATTTTATTTCACATTCTTTATATAATATAGATTTATATTTTATTCTAAATTTCTAAAGAACAACTACGAATAACTGGAGAAAACAACAACAAGCACAACCGCAATCACAACTTATCTGGATCATTCATCAATTTTTTTGGGAATATTGTTAAGTTTGGAAAGGACCTACCGGATTATTAAATTATTATTGTGATCTTTAAAATAATTGTGTTATGTATTGCGTTGTACTGTATCTTGTATTTAAATTAGTCCGTTATGTGTTGTATTTATTATTTAAATTTCACTTTTTCATTAAATTTTGTGCATTCTTCATAGTATTTATTAATAATAATATCAAATTATATTCATTCAAGTGATGAAAATTTTAAAAAAATATTTGAAATGTATTTATTCGGGATGAAAGTAATATATACTAAATAATATATTTTTTAAAATGTTATATTACATTTTCAACAAATTATGAATATTAGAGATTTAATTAATATCCTTATATGAAAATAATATGTTAATCACAAAATAATAGATGTAATAATACAATATTCTAAAACAAAAATAGAGAGTATGAATAGTAATCCTCCAAAGTTGGATAACTACTATTCAACTCTCTAAAAATAGGAGAGTAGAGGGTAAAATAGAAAGTATTTGGAGAGAGCATTCTCTATTTTACTTTTCAAATATAGAGATAGAGACTAAAATAGAGTAAAGTTGGAGACGGTCTTAGTCTCTTAGATGAGACAATATTTTTGAAAAGCTCGAGCAATATGTTAGGTCAATGAAGAATATCATGCTTGTTTAATACTGAAATGACCGACTCAAATCATTTTTTTGGATGAAGTAAGTAGATTCATTTCAAGGCATCAAGAAGATGCAAACGAAAGAATCAAATCATCTTGATGAGAAATAAAAGATTCTTAAATACATTGTTTATATGAACAAACAAACAATCTTTACATAACTAGCTTAACGGAAAAGGCTCAAAAATACCCCTGAACTATTCGAAATAGCTCAAATATACCCTTAAACTTTATTTCGGCTCAAAACTACCCTTCTCGTCATTCTATTGGGTCAAAAAAACATTTCTTATTAACGGAAATTGTTAAATGCCACGTGGATGCCATATGGATGCCACATTGCATGCCAATATGACTCCACTGCCACGCAGACTAAATACAAAGGGTCAAAAATACCCTTAAACTATCCAAAATAGCTCATATATACCCTTAAACTATATTTCGGCTTAAAACCACCCTTCCCGGCAAACTATTGGATCAAAAGTACCCTTCTTATTAACAGAAGTTGTTAAATGTCATGTGGATGCCACATTGCATGTCAATAAGGTTCTACTGCCACATAGACTAAATTCCTAAATCCTAATTATTTCTCCCCTCATTTCATTATTTCAGAAATGATATATTCACCCGTTCTCCACCATTTCGCGGCTAGGGTTTCATACGTTTCTTCGTGGTTGGGTTTCAAAGTGGATATTCACACTTGTAGGTTAGTAAATATTTTTTCTTATTTTATTATGTTTACAATTTCAAAGTATGATAGTTAGGATTTCACAACTTTCCCCTAATTTCACAGCTAAGGCTTCGTAGCTTTCTTCGGGGCTGAGTTTCAAAGTGGATATTCATGGTTGTAGGTTAGTAAATATTTTTTTTTATTTTATTACAGTTATGATTTCAAAGTATGATAGATAGAATTTCACAACTTTCCCGTCATTTTGCGGCCAAGGTTTCATAACTTTCTTGGGTGATGAGTTTCAAAGTGGATTTTTGTGGTTGTAAACACAATAAAATCAGAAAAAAGTTTACTAACCTATAACCACGAATATCCACTTTGAAACCCAGCAATGAAGAAAACTATAAACCTTAGCCGCGAAATGAGGGAGAAGGGGTGAAATCGTTTCTGGAAAATAATGAAATGAGAGAAAAATGAGTAATTAAGATTTAGGGCTTTAGTCAATGTGGCCATGTGGAATTTAACAACTTTCGCTAATAAGAAGGTCACTTTTGACCCAAAAGTTTGACAGGAAGGGTAGTTTTTGAACCGAAATATAGCTTAAGGGTAAATATGAGCTATTTCGGATAGTTTAAGGGTACTTTTGACCCTTTTCCTTTTATTCTATGTTGGCATCCACATGGCATTTAACAATTTCCGTTAATTAGAAGGACATTTTTGACCCAATAGTTTGACGGAAAGGGTATTTTTGAGCCAAAATATAGTTTGAGGGTATATATGAGCTATTTCAGATAGTTTAAGGGTATTTTTGACCATTTTCCATTAGCTTATTGTAAAAAGAGATTACCTTTTTAATGTCAATAGATTTATGACATCCATGTATTGAGTTGTCAAATGAGTCATGTTCAGAAAACCCAAGCTTATAAGAATCGACTCACATGTAGAGCTAAGACCAAAATTTAAAGTTCATGAATTTTGTATTTTGCAATTAAAAACCATAGCTCATTTAATTATTGGAGTTGTAATCAATGTTTATACATATTTAACATATTTCTAATACAAATACAAACTCTCTATGGTGGTTGTAACTATTGTCTCCACATAAATGCAATTAATCAAAAGCTATAGATGTATGAACTATATGATAAAGGTGGATCTATTGATCAGTCATGTCATATAGGCTCGAATTGGACATCTAATTGCTTCAAATAGGATAGTTCGGTGCGAAAATCATCCCACTAACGCGAGTTTGGGTGAAGAATGCACCACAAAATATGTGATGTAGACAGTCTAGTCTACCTAATACAAACATTAGTAACTGCTTTCACAGCTTGAATACGTAACTTATATATAGATCACGAAAAATTGCTATCCAAACTATCACTATGATTATTAATTAAACCTCAAACTATAGCTGTTTTTTGAAATTTTTCCAGAAAAAAAGAGAGTGAGGGGGGCAGAAGGATAACCTGGTGGTGGCCTAACTTTTTCAGCTGCAGTTGATGCCATGAAAACACTCTTTTCCGGAGATCGAATCAATGAAATAGCTGATGTAGCAGGGGAAGTAAGTTTATAACAAATAGTGTTGATATCCCCAATTTCTAATGCTATTTCAGTAACCCAATGAGCAAAATCAAAGAAAACGAAATGGGGTTTCAGGTTTTGAAGAAAAGATTTGATTTCATCATACAATTCATCCATAGCTGTTGCTAGTAGAGTTTCCAAAGATCTAGGCACATCAGCTGTAGTTTCAGCTCCATATGGAAGGCCATGGATATGAGGGATTTTGAGTGTGTGGAAAGTGATGAGATTAGGGTAAAGATTGAGATTTTGAAGTTTGATTTGAGCATTTTTGGGTAATAAGAATGAGATTTTGTGACCCTTTTTAGCAAGTTCATTAGAGAGGTTGAGAAATGGGATTATATGGCCTAATGCAAGCCATGGGAACATCACTATTTGGAGCTTTGAGTCTATGGACTCTGCCATTTTTTTGGGCCTCTTTTTGTTTGGTTAGTGATGGCCTAGTTATAAACTCTCTATTCGAACACGGATACGATAATATATTTTATTGATAAAGAAAATCAGTAGTCGCTATCTTTCGTACGCACACTAAATAACACCCTCGCTTTTATCCAATAGTTTGTAAATCATATAGGAAACCTAACTCGCACTAGGCAAGCTCGGTGTGACGAGACCCAAAAGGCATATCCCTTGCTTTCGCTGGCAAGAGGTTTCAAACTTGAAACCTCTAACATGGAAAACCCAAATCACTTGACCATCCCGAAGGGTAATATGATAATATTCTTTTAAAGAGCTTGAGTATACTTATTTTATAAGAAAATAATCCGCTCAAATTATCTTGTAAATGTAATAAATGTTTTTAAAATATATAGTTTATATAAATAAACAGATAAATTTTACCAGCTTAACTTAATGTAAAAAAAATTTACCTGTATAATGTCCATAATGTCCATGTATTGAGTTATTAAATGAGTAATGTTAAAAAAAATGTAAATTTATACCAATTCACTCACACACATGCAAGATGAAATCACAATTTGATATTTATGTGTTTTGAATTTTGTCAAAATCTATAACTTATTTTAATTATTGATTTTATAATTAACATTTATACATGTTTAGTATATTTTCTAATCTCTAATCTAAAATACAAGAAATAAGTAAATACTTTTGAGTTTGGCTAAATTCTTTTTGTTAATGTAGCTTTGTGCATAGGGTACCCTAATAAAGTTCAAATTTAAGACTTAAAAGCCAACATGAATGTTATGAACCAAATAAATAAAAAACATGGAGAAACTACTTGTGGTGATTCTTACTTTATAACTATTGCCTCCACATAAATGCAATTAAGCAAAAGCTATAATAAAATTTGATAATTCGATTCACAAAGCATTTTGTTAATATGAATTTAGAAAAAAACTACATCATAAAAAGCGTGATATACACAATATAAAATCTAATGCAAATATTAAAATAACTATTTTCACAATTTAAATTTGTAATCTATATATGAAGCATACTGAACCTATATGAGGTGAACTTTACAAATCACATAAAGTAAACTTATTATAAATCACAATTTTAAATTCGTAACCTATAATATTTAAGATTTTATCTGTATCACGTAAAAAAAAAATTAAGAAATGGAGTAACATATATATTGGGCCGGTTCCAAGGTTCCGTCTTTTTGCGGTGATTTCAATAGGGTTCTTCTTCGTTTAACATCGGTGAGTTTTCTCCTATGAATCCTCTTGTTTTCGTTTATAGTTTGATTTGAATTCTCCTTTTTGTGCTTGATATTTGCTTGTATCTTCCCCCAATTTTGAAATTGATGTGCGATTCTAGCGTGTTAGATACATTTATTCGTCTTAATTGAGATTCATTCACCTGGAATGTGTGAATTCGGTTTGTTTTTTGGTGCTTTCTAGTTTCTCCGGTAGCTGATTCGATATAGTAAGATTTAGTGGTTTAGTGTGTGAAGAAAATGTAAACTTTTGTGGTGAGAATTTGGTGGTGGATATAGCTGTTGTACGTGCTGCTGTAGCGGCGGTTTTCTTAGTGTGTTTCTCAAAGATGAAGAAGAGCAACTAAAACTTGAAAACTATGGAGTAAACTCTTAACAGTAGAACTATAATATCTGCAGATTGCTTGTATCGTAAAGAAAAATGTAATCTTTAGCATTGTGTAGTTGAAATAATATTCACTGTTAAACAAGGTACCTCTTAAGTTCGAGCCTTGAGTATGAGGTTGCCCTTTTCCCGAGTGAAGTAATGAGTTTGAGGATGGGTATGTTAACATGTGAGGAGCTTTCGCCGCTAGCTGTTTGTGGAAATGCTAAAACAAACCGGGCTCTTTCTATATATACTACAATGATTGTACATCTTTGTGATTGTTTACTATAATGCTGGTGTTGTTTTGTTATATTGTGTGTGTTTTTATATGTGGTCATGGGAGTGAAGAATTGAAGAATTTCTCAAACGTGTTTCTGTGCATGTTTGGATATACTGTCCATGTGTTTTGGAATGAAAAACGATAATTGACTAAGCTGTAAAATTTCTTGGTCATCAATGTGATAAGTAGCTTTATTTGTGTTTTTGCATAAACCTAGTATTTAAGTGGTGAAGGGTAAAAGGGTGTGCCTGTTATGCCGAGTTCCAAAGGTTTATGGTAGGTCCTAAGGGTTGGCATTAGACAGATTTTTCTGTGAGAGGGTTCATGTATTCGACCTTAACTTGTTTGGGATAGAGGCATAGTTGTTAGTTGTTATTGGTGTTAGTATCAAGTATCAACATTTGAGTAGCTCCTCTAGCCACTGAGCCTAGTGCCTGTCCAACCTAAACCATTGAGAACGACCATCTCCAAACTGAAGATTCTTTATTAGTGTAAACTCATCTGTGATAATCGTTAGTTTTTCAGCCTTCAGCTCTATATATCTGGAAAACTAAAACTTTATTCTCTTTTCAGTTGTCTCTACCAAACAATCTAATGGGTGACAAGAAGAAGGCTGGCGCTCTATTCGTGAGACTTGTTTCAACTGCTGGAACTGGATTTTTCTATGTGAAGAAGAAGACCAAAACACTTATAACAAATCAGACGAAGCTTGAATTTAGAAAGTTTGATCCTCGTGTGAATTGTCATGTTCTGTTCAAGGAAGAAAAAATGAAGTGATGCAAACTCCAAACATGGGCCAAATCTTCTTTTAACTGTTAGCTTTCATTTTTGCAGCAGCCAGTAGTGAAATTAGACAATAGGACTTTTGGCTGACTTGTTCTACAACAACAGTTTGTTTTTATTTATGCAATACTCTGAATTCGTTCGTGATCATGTTGAATGAAACATAGTTGTTGATCATATGACTGCAAAGAAAAGATTTGATTTGATCATACGATTTCAAAGAAAAGATTTGATTTGATCATGCGATTCATCCATAGCTGTTGCTAGTATAGACAATAGACACAGAATAAAGCATATCCCACACATAATGACCATCATCAAATGAATATGTTGGAAAACTATTGATAATGCCAAGGTAATTCTTCATTTTACAGCTCAACTCTCTGCTAATTGTGTCTAATAAATACTGGAAGGAGAGCATTTAAACTAATACTGACTGTGTTACAGAAGGATCTTAAAGTTTCATACTTCATGTTCAAACAACAAGTATACAATGCCTTCGATTAAATACATAGGCAGGCGGTTACAAAGGCTCTTGTGACTAAAGCTGATCAAGCATAAGACATCATCTTGGACGTTTGGCGCCAAGGGGAAAGGATACTCGTTGAGGAGTACCTTGAGGTAAGTCTGTCTTTTCATGAGAAAGAGTTGGATTTTTGCTTGGAGCTGGGTTGGGATCAGCGCTTTCTTCGTCCTCCTCTGTTTCTTCTGGTTGGTTAGTTTGCTTCTTTGCAATAGCTAGCTGATAGTTAGGGTTGATCAGTGTATCTTGTTCAGGAGGGAGTGGTACTCCAGACCCAGCAATTGATTTCGGCAATGGAATCTTGTTTCTGTTCCTAGCCAACTCCAGTAGGACCTGATAAACAAGAGAATATTATAATTTCTGAAATGCAGAAAAGTAAAAATTTGAGCAGGGAAGATGAGTGAGATTGCTCCAGTAGATAGAGCACTTCCTTTCCAACCAAAAAGATGAAGAGTTCAAGTCACAACAAGCAGTTTCCTAAAGGACTCCTAGGCAATTGTTTTCATTTTTTTGGGGTGGGTGAGGGGGTTTCACTCTGCCATATCCGAAAGAGAAAAACATACATACATGCAATGGGCAGTACTAACTGGATTTAGTTGGAGCTAGATGGTCAACTGAACTCCATGAACAACCAAGTGCATGCTAGTTGATGATTAAATCAAATTTTCAATTCATCAAGGTGTCAAGTCATATGTTAGATGAAGCTAGCTCTGTGTAATGGATCCATCTTTACTGAAAAAGCTACAGATGAATTCTAGTACTGCAGTACAAGATGAAACAGAAAAGAGAAGTTCCAGACTGCTAAAACTTTAGCCAAGAAAATAAAGATACAAGTTCTTCAATGCCCCGCCATCTGTGGTTGCTTTCCTTTTATAGCCCAAGTCATGTGTAGTCGACCAGGCTCCCCTCATCATAATCTCTAATCTTTTACTGGGTTGTCAGACCTAGTACTGCATCTTAATTTATATGCAGGCCCAAGTTGATGTCCATGCTTTCCAGACCCAACCCTTAGTAAAGTCCAAAATAATACTCGCGCCCTCAATAATAACCTTGTCCTCAAGGTTCAAGACAGGGAATTCATACTCATGAGTTTTCTCAGCTTCGTTGTGCATGGTGAATACATCACCAGAATCAAATTCATGCCAAGGAAGTCTCAAGGCACAATCTGCCACCATAGGAACATAATACACTGCTGAACCTTCACTAATATAATTCATTGTTTGTAATTCTATTGGACTTCTTCTCAATGGGGCCCCACACTAACATGATGAGTGCCAGGATAATTCTGGCAATATCAAACCTTGCACCAGTAATGGTCATTTCTTCTAGCATGACAGCGAACACATTTCTTCCTCATTTCTCAAAAGCAGATATATATCTTGGCATATCTTTCTTCTACTAATTTCATCATAGTGAATAAGAGGGAATGAATAATCTCCATAATGCTAACGCTGCATCCACTAAAATTATCATGGTACTGAAATAATTATGTCTGTTCAGTGTCTCAGTGATTTCATAACAGTTTCGAGTATCCTAAGAGGCCCCTTCTTTCACATTTATAGTATCATGAGCAACTTGACTAAAAAAAGCTAGTGATGCACCAAAATTCACCTAGCCAGTTATACTGTATCGCTCGAAAGAACACCCCAGCAAAACACAAGTTATAAATGAACCCGTTAATACCTGAGATAGACTGTGCCACATTACCAATCCAAGAAAAGAAACAACCCCATTGAGGATCATAATATAGTTCTTCAGATGAAAACTAGCATGTGCGGAGTCATCCAATGAACATAATGTCTGGAGGAACCTTCGACCTTCCAGGGTATACTAAGTAAACAACAGCAACATATCTGGAGGAAGCAGATTGTTGCTAGTCCAGTCGAATCCACCGAGCACTGAGAGCCACTGGTGAGCAGTAGCCTTCCATAGCCTTGCATTCAATTTTTATTTGCATTGTAGGTGCCCTTTCTTTCCTTCGGACTCATTAAGGAAGAAATATGTAAATGGATACCTAAAATAGACTTGGATAGTGCGCAAATAGCCAGGATATGAGGATAAAATCCTTTGATAAAATGCTTTAATCCAACTAGGTAGTGAACTGGTATAGCATAGAGAAGAGCAGCAAGTCTGTCATTGCAAAAGTGAAGACCCAACTGACTCCGCAATAGAGGGATGAACTATATTATTGCAAGCTGAACCATCCAGTGTCTATCCTTGTAAGTTAAACAAGAACTAGCAGAAAGAATTGGGAGAGCTGATCAATTTGAATCCCCTGGTTCACGTGTTTTAGCTTACTAATAATATTCAAACGAACTTGAGAAGACTCATCCATCAGCAGAGAAAGAAATATCTGGAGAAGATGTTCAACAATTGTATTCTTCCTTGAAATAAGAGTCATTCCCATCATAACCAAAGAATTAACAGATATAGCATGTTGGCAAGAGAAGTCGTGCATAGTCTGCTAGTTGCCTGTGAAATAGAGTATCTGGTATAACTAGTAAAATACAACTCTACTGTACAGCAATTGGGCATTGGACTTTGCAGCGAATGCTTTTTGCTGAATGAGGTCTTTATTCATATTTTTGGAGCTGGAACTATCTCAATAGTCAGCTCCCTGAGATCAACAAAACGGTGCTCAACTCCATAGAGATCAAGATTGATAGCAATATCAATGAAAAATCCATCTGGAGCCTATCTAACTCGGGGAAATTTAGCATTGGTTCAACTTGGAGGTCTATCAGGTAAAAAAGAGATCCAAATCCAATCTATTGCAACCTATGGAAAAAAGATGTTTCTTTTAACATGTCCTTCCTTTTGTGGAGAACTATCAGCAACAAGCTATCGACCGACGACAAGGTTGTAAGACTTGGGATTGCCCTCAACCCACAATGTTACTGTTGCAGCCTTTCTAACACAAGAGTTGAGCATAAAGATATCAAACATTTGTTCTGTCAAGGTGACCTAGCTAAGAAGATCTGGAGAAAGTTTGCAGGGTCCTGGACATTGGATTTAGAAGTGACAACCTCAACATGATCCTACGAAGTTGGTGGAACCACAAATCCAACAGCCCTATCACCAATTTCATTTCCAAGAACCTACATCCTACTATTTGTTGGGAGCTATGGAAGTCAAGTTGTAGCAACAAATTTGAGGGGACTAGGCCCTCACTTTATAGAACTAGTACTAATATCACAAATTGTATTGTGCATGTTATCAGGAGTAACAGTCAAAATTAGAGACAACTAGAGCAGTATTTGTCAAGCTTGTGATGCGGTTGTCCAATACAATACAAGTATTCCAGTTGCATGGATCAAACCTCCTTCTTTCAGAGTCACACTCAATAGCGTTGGTAGCTGCAGAGGGGCAGTGTGGAGGAGGGGGAATCATCAGAGATCAAGAGGGGAACTTCATTTTTGCCTACATTATATCCTTAGGAGCTGGAACTAGCAACATTGCAGAAGGCAGAAGCTGAGGCTATGGTTTTGGACTGAAATGGTGTGCTGGCAAAGGTTTTGATATGGCGATAGGTGAAACAGATTCCCTGATACTAGCCAAGTGCTCCAGAAAAGAGTGGAAACCTCCTTCGAAAATCTACAACCAAATAAAAGAGATCCTGAAGATGATTGAAGATCATGACTTCAATATCAACCATTATTTTCGAGAAGCTAATAGACCGGCGGACAGACTAGCAGTGCTAAGTCATAAAGTTGCAGGAGTGAAGACCTTCAATCTCTTCTGTGAACTTCCCAGTAACATAAGAGGTCTGGTCCATACGGATAAATGGAGCTTACCAACATTTAAGAATAAACCGGCAAAACTTGCCACATCATATATGATCCTCCTTGATCTCTCAAATAATTGTCACTTGTTTTGCGTAGGAATAGAGTGTTAGTCTCATCTCTATGATCATGTACAAAGTTTGGGATGCCAAGCTCAAATTGTAACTTTTTGCACCTCCATGATCAATGGACCTTTAAATTAAAAAAAGAAAAAAGAAAAGCTCGGATTGAATCAGTATTGGTCAAGTTGTCGTTGCTTATTTTGAAGTGTCTATGCAGCCTTCTAATGGTGTGATTAGTCTAGGAAATCTTATGCAGATTTTTTGAACTTGGTAACTTTATTCTAGGAAATTCTATACAGATAATTTTTAACCTGGTGACTTTACTCTAGAAAATTCTATGCAGATTAAAAGTGTTTATTTTACTTTTTAACCAATCCTGTGATACTCTGAATTAGTCAACTAACAAACAGCAACTGTTAAGTAATCAAAATGCCAGAACCCATTCACAACCTAAAAAAATTCCTGTAGAACCTTCAGCATCTTCTGTTCTGCACAAGGCTGAAAATCTCTATACCACTACCCTAGCATTCAGCCACCAATACCTGCTGTTCAACTTTTCTCAGTCACGGTAATAAACCACATATGATAGCACCAGACTATGACATGTATTTTTTTATTTTGAAATAGATAACTTTCCAAACTATGACCTATTAGTTTGATACCTTTTCACTGTTTTCAGTTATAACTTTAAAATATATAATTATGTCGAATGACAACCGAAGTTCTGAAACACGTTACAAGAGAACAACCTAAGACTCCAAGACAAAAAATTTAGTTACATCATATAATTCTTTGATTCAGAAACTCCATTTTACTTATCTTTCTTAGACAAGAGAGGGCTA